GGTATTAGTTTAAGGGGAAAAGTGCCGTACTCTGGATCTATTCTGTGACTGGTAATACAACCAGTCCAGAATTCAATGACCATCACTGTGACAGCACAAGTCCTGCTAAACATCGATATGGAATAGTTTTAGAAAACGGTAACAGTTGGCCCTAATCTGGCAGTTTTCCTAGACCAAAGAAGTTAAACGGTCATACTCAACAACAAAAGTATGCATTCTAGGTATTAGTTGAAGGGGAAAAGTGCCGTACTCTGGATCTATTCTGTGACTGGTAATACAACCAGTCCAGAATTCAATGACCATCACTGTGACAGCACAAGTCCTGCTAAACATCGATATGCAATAGTTTTAGAAAACAGTAACAGTTGGCCTTAATCTGGCAGTTTTCCAAGACCAAAGAAGATAAACGGTCATACTCAACAACAAAAGTATGCATTCTAGGTATTAGTTTAAGGGGAAAAGTGCCGTACTCTGGATCTATTCTGTGACTGGTAATACAACCACTCTAGAATTCAATGACCATCACTGTGACAGCACAAGTCCTGCTAAACATCGATATGGAATAATTTTAGAAAACAGTAACAGTTGGCCTTAATCTTGCAGTTTTCCAAGACCAAAGTAGATAAATGGTCATACTCAACAACAAAAGTATGCATTCTAGGTATTAGAGTAAGGGGAAAAGTGCCGTACTCTGGATCTATTCTGTGACTGGTAATACAACCACTCTAGAATTCAATGACCATCACTGTGACAGCACAAGTCCTGCTAAACATCGATATGCAATAGTTTTAGAAAACAGTAACAGTTGGCCTTAATCTGGCAGTTTTCCAAGACCAAAGTAGATAAGTGGTCATACTCAACAACAAAAGTATGCATTCTAGGTATTAGTTTAAGGGGAAAAGTGCCGTACTCTGGATCTATTCTGTGACTAGTATCACAACCAGTCCAGAATTCAATGACCATCACTGTGACAGCACAAGTCCTGCTAAACATCGATATGGAATAGTTTTAGAAAACAGTAACAGTTGGCCCTAATCTGGCAGTTTTCCTAGACCAAAGAAGTTAAACGGTCTTACTCAAGAGCAAAAGTATGCATTCTAGAGATCTGATATGTGACTGTATGAAAACAAGTCCAGCAGACAACACAAAGTGTGACGTGTAATGACTGTCGAATAAACTTCCCTGCTTAGTTTAAGGGAAAAAGTGCTGTACTCTGGATCTATTCTGTGACTGGTAATACCAGTCCAAAATTCAATGACCATCACTGTGACAGCACAGGTCCTAGCTGCCAAACATTAGTATGGAATATGTTAAAACAATGACAACTGGTCATAATCTGGCAGTTTTCCAAGACAAAAGTAGATAAATTGTCTTACTCAAGAACAAAAGTATGCATCCTAGAGAGTTGATATGTGACTGTATCAAAACGATTTCAGCATACAGTCCACAGTGTGTCATTCAGCACCTTTACTATAAAAGCCTGGTTTAAGTGTTAATAATTAAATATTATAATGTCTCCACCTAACCTGTCAAATTTATGAAAATGTATTGCTCATCAATTAATATTTCTCAAAAATAAAAGAAAAGGTTTTTCGAAGCATATCTAAAGATTGATAGCGGAATGAACTTCCCTGCTTACTTTAATGAGAGGTGCTGTACTCTGTTAAGGAGAGGTGCTGTACCGGCTCTGGATGCATCTTGAAATTTCTGGAAGAAAAGACACAAGTAATCATTATCATGGCTTTTTTTCTAAAAATATAGATAAATTGTATTACTCAAGAGCAAAAGTGCCATTCTAGGAATTTGATCTGTAACTGCATGAAAACAAGTCTAGCGTACAATCTACAGTGTCACATACAATGTGTGACGTGTAATGACTGTGGAATAAACGTCCCTGCTCAATTTAGGAGGAAAAGTGCCATACTCTGGATCTATTCTGTGACTGGTAATACAACCAGTCCAGAATTCAATGACCATCACTGTGACAGCACAAGTCCTGCTAAACATGAGTTTTAGAAAACAGTAACAGTTGGCCCTAATTTGGCAGTTTTCCAAGACCAAAGTAGATAAATGGTCATACTCAACAACAAAAGTATGCATTCTAGGTAATTAGTTTAAGGGGAAAAGTGCCGTACTCTGGATCTATTCTGTGACTGGTAATACAACCAGTCCAGAATTTAATGACCATCACTGTGACAGCACAAGTCCTGCTTAATATTGATACAACTTTTTTTTTTTACTGGTTGTTAATTTACCTGACTGCTAAGAAAGCATAAATGCTTGTTAGTAAGTAAACAACCAGGGGACCGACGGCTTTAGGTCCTCTCGTTTCTACTCAATGCATCTTAAAATTCCTGGTAGAATAGCTGCAACTAGTAACCAAGATCAGAGCAAAAGTGTGCATTCTAAAGATTTGATATGTGAATGTATCAAAACGAGTTCAGCATACAGTCCACAGTGTGACATTCAGCACCTTTCCTGTAAACGTCTAGGTGTAGCTGTGTTAATAAGTAAATGTTAAAATGTCTCCAATTTATCTAAATTTACTGCTGATCAATTCATATGTTATCAACAATAAAAGATTCGTTTTTTTTAAGTATATCAAAAGACTGAAAGTGGAATATACTTCCCTGCTTATAGTTGAAAGGGAAAAGGGCCATACTCTGGATCTATTCTGTGACTGGTAATACAACCAGTCCAAAATTCAATGACCATCACTGTGACAGCAGTACAGGTCCTAATTGCAATGCATCTTATTATTCCTTTAAGAAATGACACAATGAATTGTTAACTGGCACAGTAAGATTTACACAAATGAAGCTTTCAAAAAGCCATTCATGCGGTTGCAAACCATGATAGCAATTGCAATCTAAATAGTACACTAAGAATTACTGACTGCACATATCAGTCAGGTACAGTTATGTGATACTAGTTAAATTAAATGCAGACAAGAGATGCTGGACCATTATCTGCATGGAAAAATAATTGCAATTGTTACTACAGCACAGTTTGTTGCCCGTGTTAAAAAGAAAAAACCTAATACACATGTATGTGAATAAAGTTACTTAGCTTCTTTCAGAAGTATGCCTCGATCACCTTCCTTCTGATGAAAAATGTAACTGGAGAATCTGTTTATAACAAATACAAATATAGGAAAATTAATATGTATATTCAGTGCTTCAATGAGGAAGATTTTCGTAGTATTCAACAAGTTCTGGTTGAATTATCACTGGAGTAGATCCCCTGCACAGACTGACGAGGTCACCATACTTCTCCTGAGAGAGCTTCGGTCTACTCTCATAAAGCTGACCAGGAAGCTGAAGAGACTGTGCAGGGTTTCTACGACGACCCTGGCCTATAGAGAGTGTGTTATACTGATCCTGTAAATGTGAAGTCTTGAAAAAGATTTGCATGGGACATTCCTTCTTGAGCTGAACCTGTTTGAACATAGTCCAGTCTACAGAAACACCCTCATCCGATGTCCTCGTTCTAAGAATACCCAGCTGCTGGGAGTATGATCGCCAGGACAAGATGTCTTGGGTCCTGACACACTTGACCCTGTAAGGACCTGGGTTTGATCTAGCTTCTCTGATGATGGAGGAAAGTTGGACAGGGTGCATAAGTTCATGTGATTTTGAGAGCCTTTGCTCTATATGGGAATGGATTGAATCACACTCACTTTGCCCATGGCATTTCTCAAAGTAATGAAAAGTGATTACTGCTACATTTGTACATTCCTTCATGAAAGCCATAGCCATTGCTGGCAGGACCGAATTTCTGTTTTGACCAGCACATCCATCGCTGTAGAAGTCTACTTCCTTTACGCCTTTTTTGTCAACTTCTCTGAGGTAGTCTAGAAGGTAGGAAGCAATTTCATTCGATCCTCTTTTGGTTATTGTTTCATTAGACAAGTAACAAAGTCCATCTCTTTTTTCAAAATCATATACAGTCAAATTGTAACAAGCAAGTCGTCTCTTATAGAATATTTCACTTCTATTGGACTTTGGCAAGTACATGACTTGTTGAAGGTCAAATACAGCACTGGCAAACTGGTCAGATGAAATTGCTTTCTCTTTGCTCTGTGCCTTCAAACCCCTGACCTTCTCTACCTCTGCCCTATGTGCATCGTATACCTCTTTTAGATCTTCCTTCAGCTGACCCTGAGCATTGGTGTAATTTGAACACAATCCACACATGTCTTTTTTTGGTTTGTGGATCTTGATTTTCATTGATTTCATTGCTTTTACATATGTACTTCGTGAGGCACAATTTCCATGTTCCTTCACAAATAATTGATACATTATTGCCTTTGTGAGGTCTGGAGCAACATAAGTGAATTCTGAATTTGCACGACAATAGTGAGATGGCACTCTTGGGAATTTGTGTAAGTGAGTAATGATCTTTTCCTTTTGTGTGGGATCCAGATTTTGTTTGCCCCCTCGCCTATCTTTTTCCATTGTACCTGTCTTGTTGCAGGTTTTGGCCAAGACCGTTCTTACTTGGCGAGTACTTATGCCGAGTGTAGTAAGAAAAGTCTTTTGGCACACTGGCAATCTTTGCCCAGGGTTAATAGGACTTGGCAGGAAATAGGTTAAGTTCTTACGTAATCCTTTCTTGTTAGGAGTAGTGCTGATGTGTCTAGCTATGTACTCCCTTTGCCCAGTCAGAGTACCCAATCCATAGAAATCCTCTCGTACGTTTTTCATGACTTCTTGAGTGATGATGTTACATTCAAGTCTTTTTAGCTCGCACATGTAACTATCACATTTCTTGAATGGCAGATTTTTACGTCCTGCCATTGTTTTTCTTGATTTTTCTGATAGGTAGGGCTCACCTTTGTTTCGAAGTTCCTTAACAATCTTATTTTTTGATTTTACAGATCCAGATTTTGACAAATGCACATTTTCATTGCAGTTTTTCTCATGTTCTTGTACGAGGATTTCATCATAACCATCAACTTGGAAATTCTCAAGATATGGATCTTGGGTATTTAGACCATGGCAATCACATTCTTCACTATTATCAAAATGTTCAAAACATAGTAAAGCTTGGCATCTGAAACAAGCAGCAAACACCTCACCTTCACAAAGGAGGCTTTCACAACTTGGCTGGTCTGGATCATGAATATCTGTTTGTCAAATAGAATGCAGAAATACTTTATATATTAGATAAACTGTGGTTCAAAAAGAAAAAATAGGACACACTTTACAGCCTGATGTTGGTTAAAATTAAATGCTTGAAGTTCTCAGTTTTTTTCTTTTAAGTGAGGAATGTGAGAAAAAAATGAAGTATATTGTGATATTATGAAAAACAGAAATGAACAAAATTGTGTGCATGATTTAGATGAGCACAAAGTGTGGAAAGTAATAAACAAATGTATAGCTTTATCAAACTTCTAACAACAATAGATCTATTACTTTAATTACCTTGTTCCTGCACTGTTGCAGATTTTGGGGGGAGCCTGGGACATTCTTCAAGGAGGGAGTTCTTTTCCAGGTGACTCTGGACTACTGTAAAGGGATGGTCTGGCTGGACGGCACAGCCTTCTCCGCCTTCGATCAGTGTTACCCTTCCTGATATGATGAAAAACAGAAATGAACAAAATTGTGTGCATGATTTAGATGAGCACAAAGTGTGGAAAGTAATGAACAAATGTATAGCTTTATCAAACTTCTAACAACAATAGATCTATTACTTTAATTACCTTGTTCCTGCACTGTTGCAGATTTTGGGGGAGCCTGGGACATTCTTCAAGGAGGGAGTTCTTTTCCAGGTGACTCTGGACTACTGTAAAGGGATGGTCTGGCTGGACGGCACAGCCTTCTCCGCCTTCGATCAGTGTTACCCTTCCTGATATGATGAAAAACAGAAATGAACACAATTGTGTGCATGATTTAGATGAGCACAAAGTGTGGAAAGTAATGAACAAATGTATAGCTTTATCAAACTTCTAACAACAATAGATCTATTACTTTAATTACCTTGTTCCTGCACTGTTGCAGATTTTGGGGGGAGCCTGGGACATTCTTCAAGGAGGGAGTTCTTTTCCAGGTGACTCTGGACTACTGTAAAGGGATGGTCTGGCTGGACGGCACAGCCTTCTCCGCCTTCGATCAGTGTAACCCTTCCTGATATGATGAAAAACAGAAATGAACACAATTGTGTGCATGATTTAGATGAGCACAAAGTGTGGAAAGTAATGAACAAAAACGCATATATTTATCAAACTTCTAACAACAATAAATCTATTACTTTAATTACCTTGTTCCTGCACTGTTGCAGATTTTGAGGGGAGCCTGGGACATTCTTCAAGGAGGGAGTTCTTTTCCAGGTGACTCTGGACTACTGTAAAGGGATGGTCTGGCTGGACGGCACAGCCTTCTCCGCGTTCGATCAGTGTTACCCTTCCTGATATTATGAGAAAAACAGAAATGAAAACTGTGTGCATGATTTAGATGAGCACAAAGTGTGGAAAGTAATAAACAAATGTATAGCTTTATCAAACTTCTAACAACAATAGATCTATTACTTTAATTACCTTGTTCCTGCACTGTTGCAGATTTTGGGGGGAGCCTGGGACATTCTTCAAGGAGGGAGTTCTTTTCCAGGTGACTCTGGACTACTGTAAAGGGATGGTCTGGCTGGACGGCACAGCCTTCTCCGCCTTCGATCAGTGTTACCCTTCCTGATATGATGAAAAACAGAAATGAACACAATTGTGTGCATGATTTAGATGAGCACAAAGTGTGGAAAGTAATGAACAAATGTATAGCTTTATCAAACTTCTAACAACAATAGATCTATTACTTTAATTACCTTGTTCCTGCACTGTTGCAGATTTTGGGGGGAGCCTGGGACATTCTTCAAGGAGGGAGTTCTTTTCCAGGTGACTCTGGACTACTGTAAAGGGATGGTCTGGCTGGACGGCACAGCCTTCTCCGCCTTCGATCAGTGTTACCCTTCCTGATATGATGAAAAACAGAAATGAACACAATTGTGTGCATGATTTAGATGAGCACAAAGTGTGGAAAGTAATGAACAAAAACGCATAGCTTTATCAAACTTCTAACAACAATAAATCTATTACTTTAATTACCTTGTTCCTGCACTGTTGCAGATTTTGGGGGGAGCCTGGGACATTCTTCAAGGAGGGAGTTCTTTTCCAGGTGACTCTGGACTACTGTAAAGGGATGGTCTGGCTGGACGGCACAGCCTTCTCCGCCTTCGATCAGTGTTACCCTTCCTGATATTATGAGAAAAACAGAAATGAAAACTGTGTGCATGATTTAGATGAGCACAAAGTGTGGAAAGTAATAAACAAATGTATAGCTTTATCAAACTTCTAACAACAATAAATCTATTACTTTAATTACCTTGTTCCTGCACTGTTGCAGATTTTGGGGGGAGCCTGGGACATTCTTCAAGGAGGGAGTTCTTTTCCAGGTGACTCTGGACTACTGTAAAGGGATGGTCTGGCTGGACGGCACAGCCTTCTCCGCCTTCGATCAGTGTTACCCTTCCTGATATGATGAAAAACAGAAATGAACAAAATTGTGTGCATGATTTAGATGAGCACAAAGTGTGGAAAGTAATGAACAATAATGGCAATAAAGAAAAGTGCAAATGTTGATATACATGGTACATTTTCAGATTACATGCTGCCATAAAGCTGACCGCTACATAAAACAACTTTGGCTGATTTCTAATATTATTCACAGATGGTGTTGTCAGGTGTTAGTTCTAAAGGACAGATTCCATTTGTAGAAACAGAGCTTAACCTTTTGGAGGAAGTAAATACATCACTATATACATCTCAACAATATTGACACCCCTGTAAAGTACAGGTTGAGTTCACTAGTCCTCTTTATTATGTTAAAATAAACATCCATCATAGACTGACAAGGCTTAATGTGTTTTTTAGAATGCTATCACATGTTCATCTAATAAAATGGTCTGGTTTGCTTACGATATGATGCCAATGGTACATTTTCATCATCATCCTCACTATCTTCCTCTTCAGTAATCTCTTCCACCTCAGTATCCATTAGCTCTTCTGCAAGGTGACTCTGGACTACAGTACGAGGCTGTTCTTGTTGGACTGCATAGCCTTGACCTCCTGCACTTAACTCTGTGAAGACTTCCATTTCTGAGGCCAAATAATATGTTAAAACGCAGAGATAATGAGTAACTAGTACACAGTTTTGCCCCAATTTTCAAGAGGTGTACTTTCAAACCTGGTAAATGAAATGACCACGAGGTATAGTAGTATAAATCATATATAGAAAATATTATTTCAATGTACAACTTAATACAAGGAAAACTTTATAAACTGAATTAAACCATGTTCCTTGCTGTACCTAACTCACATTTTTTATACAGGTTATATAATGCCTTAAATATCAATATTTTTAGGGCAAGGCCACTTTTCTGTAGGGCACATTCCTATATAACAGCACAAATAGGAAGAATTGGAAAGGGCACAAAAAATCTCCAAGGACAATGGGAGGGGCATTGAGGCCAATCAAAAGGGCATCCACGGCCATGACCTTGGATTAATTTAAGCCATAGCTTGAATTATCCCACAATTTAAATTGCCAGATAAGTTCAATGTTATAGTGATCTCCTTGACGAATTAAGAAAACACAAAGATATAAAAATGCATAGAATCAGTTCATACCTTCGATTTGTGGAATGGAGCAGATGCGTTTCACTGTGATATTAAAGAAAATGAAAACAAATGTGAACAAACATTCCAAATAGTCTTTATCTGGGCCATATGGCTTGAATGAAGAAGAAAAAAGGTTTATTGTATTACATATAGTAAACAAAAACAAAATTTGTATTTTTAACTTGTTGAGGGATGCAGCATATTCTGTTCGATTGCATATAAAACTTGTTAAAGAGAGCGTACAGCCCCCCCCCCCCCCCCAATAAAAATAAAGCTGAACTATTTGAAGGCAGTAAATACATCACTACTATACTGTACATCTCAACAATACTGACAACCCCGTAAAGTACAGGCTGAGTTCATTAGTCCTTTTTATTATATTAAAAATAAACATCCATCATAGACTGACAAGTCTTAATGTGGATTTTAGAATGCTATCACATGTTCATCTAAATATAAATGGTCTGTAATTTGATTTACTTACCATATGATGCCAATGGTACATTTTCATCATCATCCTCTTCATCTTCCTCACTATCATCTTCTTCGGTCATGCCTTCCCCCTCAATGTCCATCGGCTCCTCTTCACGGTTAGAGATGATCTGCTCCACCCTCCCTTTCCACCACCCCTTTCTCCATTTCATCTTTACAGTAGCTCCAATTTTCAGGGAAGCATTCTTCCTCAGCACCAGGTCGTTCAAGGCCACTGTGTTTTTGGACTTGTCGCGGTCCCACTGGACCACCACATCAATCTCATCCATGCAAGGATTTGTTCCTAGAATAAAAACCAAACAAAAAAATGTAAAGAGTTAGACAGAAAGGCGGTTTATTTTTAACCCATGGTTTAAACCCTCATTTACATAACCCTTAATTGGTTTCGAATTAGTGCCACTTAAGCGTACCTTGCCTAGCACAGGTCTAATATTAGACCTTGGACTGTGTCACGCTTATTTTGCGTTAATTTTAGACCATGGGTCATGTAAATGAAGATTTAAACTATAGATTAAATTTAAACCTCCTTTGTAAGTTTGGGCCTAAAAGTAGGAATCTTGCCTCTACTAGATGAACTTCACAATGCTTCCTATTTTCTAACACTCATGTAGATCTATCCAAAAATAATTTTGGTGAGCAAGCTTTCCTAGATATAAAAATAGATCTAGATCTAGAGGTCACTCTATATCAGATTTAATGTACATATCTAGGCCATAGCCATCACATCAACACATTTGAGGATCTAGACTAGTATAGACATGCAAATCTAACTCAATAGCTTCATGTATGGAGTTCATGTAGAGGTCTAGATATATACTAGAATATAGGCCTAGATCCTAGTAGTACTAGTCTAGACTACAAAAAACTTTATTTAGTAGACTAGATTCTAGGTCTATAATCTAGTCTAGGTCTAGAGCTACTATTAACAGGTAGGGTCTAGAGTCTATACACATCTATTACCGTTTTATTACGCTTTCTCTTGTTAAATCTTTTCACTCAGTTGTGAACTAGAGTCTAGTATGAGACAACCTTGTTACCATTGCCATTGATAATAGATCTATTAACAAAAGAAAAAGTAGGTCTTACTTTTAGATTCTAGATCTACAAAAACAAAAAACAATGACGTCCACACCATGCACCAGACAGTAACAACAAAATGAAAGATATTTGTCCGATCTTTACTTTGTTAACTTAATTTATTCAAGACAATTTAACTCTAGCATGACACTGACGTTCGAAATACAGCTATAATTACAGTCATCATATCTCTAGTAGATCTGAAATGATTCTACATAAACATGATAATATAACAACATACAACCCTACGGAAATTTATATGAATGGGACTGCATAATAAATAGCAGACGATATGTTTTAAGCAAGGACCTATTTTATCCCTATCACGGGATTTTAGCTTAGGTTGAATATATTATATAGTTGTTAAAACATACAGAACATTGAGGAGAAATGCTTACCACGGCGATCAGCTCCTGAAAATAGTGTGATTTCCCTTGTAAGTAAAGTTCGATGAGTCCGTGGTCTTGTTTACACTGGATAGGACGGATCGTAACAAAACATAGCGCGCCAACTGTGATTTTACGAACAGTCACGAAGGTTTAGGTCACTTCGTAAAATTACTCGAGGCGATAGGACGTTTTCGGTGAAATTTGAATTTGCTCTTATTCTTAAAATAAACCGAATTATGGTCTCAAATTTCGCCAGTCGATAGAGTGGAGGACAGGCTTTCAAAATGTATAAAAATCTGAATTTCGGAAATTTGACAGAAAAAAGTGGTTTATGACGGTTCGTAAAAAAAAGTCCAAACAACAAGCTGTTACAGGAGTCTAATCTGCTTGTTACAAATGCATGCACCAGAGTGAGTGCACCTTGCTTCGAGAGGAAACATCTGATTTTACTTATGCACCTGATTCCTGCCATTGCTGATTTGCAAACAGTTTTTATATGTTCTTTCAAGGTGATGTGCTGGTCAAAGACAACCCCAAATTTCTGGCACAAGGAACAGGATTAATGTGGCAGTCACCGACATATACACTAGATAGGGTAGGATCTCGACGAAACTTGGATGTGAAATGGATAACTTCAGTTTTGGAATCATTCAAAGACAATTTGTTTTTCATTGCCCAAATCTTCACATCAGTTATGCAGGCTTTCAGCTTCTCTAACGATTCTTCACGTTCACTAGGCTTGAACACGATATACATTTGCGTGTCATCCGCATAAAGCATTACATTTACACCATGAGATGTTATGATGTCTTCCATTGGCGCTGTGTACATTGTGAAGGCAAGGGGCCCGATGACGGATCCTTGTGGAACCCCATGCTTATCATGGTAGGTCTGCGAAGAGGCATTTTTTATCATAACAACATGCGTTCTGTTTTCCAGGTATGAGGAAAACCATCGAAGAGCCCTTCCCCTGATTCCAAAGTAGGATTCCATTCTTTCAAGCAGCAGATCATGGTCAATCGTATCAAATGCTGCACTAAAATCTAGCAGCACCAGTACCGCATCCTGCCGAGCATCTAGAGCCATCAGGAGGTCATTTTGGACCCTGAGAAGCGCTGTCTCAACACTAAAGTGTTCGCGATATGCCGACTGGGCGCTAGGAAGGAGATCATGATCAGCTAGGTATTCCCTGATCTGCCTGGCGACGACCCTTTCTACCAGCTTTCCAACAAAACTGAGATTCGCTATAGGCCGATAGCTCGATACATCATCATGAGGAAGACCATCTTTCTTAAGTCTAGGTTGGACAATTGCATGTTTCATGCATGCAGGCACCTCTCCTTTCTGTAAGCTGGTATTCACTATTTTGACAAGAACTGGGGCCAGACAAGATATCACCTTCTTAAGTAGAGACGTAGGTATCGGGTCCAAATCACAGTAAGAATTGGATGTTCCCTTGACGATGTTGACTAATTCATCCTCAGACACTGTGTGGAACTCAGTCAGATACGAGGAGCACCGATCTTTGACTGGAACTGACAGGTCCTCAGAGATGGATGCATCTAGCTCCTGCCGTATACGCTTGACTTTTTCATCGAAGAAACTGCAGAACGACTCTGCAAGCTGGCCAGGAGAGTCATGGCATGGCATTATTTGGCTAGAAGCATGTGGTGATGAGAGAGTCCGAACCATTCGATACAAGCCTCGTTGATCACGATGATCGATTTTCTTGAGAAAGTAGTCCTCTTTTGTCTGACGAAGAAGAAATAAATAGGACTTGCACTTCTCCTTGTAAAATGTCCTTGTGAATTTGAAGGCCAGATTTGTAAACTGCCCTTTCAGCTCTTCTCCGCTCTTGCTTGGATCTCCTGAGGGCGTCCGAGTACCATGGAGCTTGCGGTCTAAGGATGAACTCCTTCTCCTCGAGCGGTGCATGCTGATCTAACAACCTCTGCATCTCCTCGTTATATAGGTCAGCAAGGTCACCACATTCATCCAGAGAATCTGTGAATAGTTGTGACTTCTGAATGTCCTTCTGAAAATCCTGTTGATCAATGTCCTTGCATTTCCTTAGGACCACTGTACGTTTGACAGGAAGCGGTCTTGCAAACGACAAGCCACATATTGCAGACCGATGATCAGAGGGTAGAGACGAATCAGTCGATGATGTCAACACAAGATCATCACTATCTCGAGATATGACGAGATCAAGTGTGTGACCACTGGAGTGCGTGGGGCTCTTTATGTGGTTGTGAAGATTAGCAACATCCAAAAGACTGAGAAACCTCTGAGCATCAACATTATTCGGGTCATCTACGTGAACATTAAAATCACCGACTATCAACAGCCTCTGACGGTTGATGCAGAGCACCTCAACCAAAGTAGATAATTCATTGAAGAAGGTACTTAAAGTCTCTCTCTTCCTAGCAGAGGACGGTGGTCTGTAGATGACAACAAGACGAAGATCCGTCGATCCAGATGACCTTAGCATCAGGTCAATATGCTCAAAGGACTTAAAGGTGAATTCCCGATTTACACTCACTTTGAACCCTTTATGTAGCAAAACACCAACCCCACCTCCTTTTCCGCTAAGACGAGGAGAGTGGTGGAATTCAAAGTTCGGCAGAGTTGTCCTAATGTCGGCAAGGGCACGATTATCACGATCTGAGTTAGTAAGCCAAGTCTCCGTGACAGCAAAAATATGGAGCTGTTTTGATATCACAAAGTCACATATGGCAGTAGACTTTCCGCGGGCCTTCACTGAACGTGCGTTCCAAATTGCAAAATTAGTAAAGGAGTTTGAGTGTGGAACCATATTTCTTTGAATGGTTATTACTTCCCGATGTTCATTAAATGGTATCCCAAGTTCATGTTTCGAATATCGGATATCTCTATTTTTCATCTGATGTATGCGGGGGCGGATGATAACTGGAATATGTTCTGATTCAGGGGCTAAGGTAGACTGTGCCAGTAGACGACGACGGCGGCATCTTCCCCCCTTGCGACTTCGCCTAGCTTGTACGGTGCTTGCAAATTTCAAGAGTGCAGTGGAGGGTTTTCCACACAGTTGGTGTTACTCGAAAATGCTGGCGGTTAAGGCTCCGTAACATGTCCACATCATACCGAATCCTGTTTGATGTAACAGAATTCTTTCTATGTAGACAGTCCTCGCTATTTGATTCATGATGTTGTTGAAAAATATCAGGACCGGGATTTGGATGTATATCCCCACATTCTACAAGCTGAACATGGAAGGTAGATGTGGATGTGGCAGTCTGGTAGTAGGATATCCTTCTCCCGATGTATTTTGTCTTTGATGAAAAACTACACTTGCATGTATTGTGTAGCACGGTATAACTTTCTGTAGTACCACTACTCGTTGCCGATGAAAGGGAGTAGGCAAGACCAACTATGATGACCAGGAACATATAAATGAAAGTCATTGTTAATCTGCATGTGGTCTAGTCCATTGATAATGCAGTCCAGTTCAATTGAGGGCTTAAAAAGGCTATTCACAGTTGATCACACATGAATAGAACTTAGAAGAATAGGCTAGATGACCAGTGGCTATATACTGCATGCATGTAACTCCATCATGGCTACAGGCTGTGCTCCAAGTGTATATAGAACCACAGAATATTGGTTGTCACAACCACGACACAAGCAGTCCAAAAAATCAGTTCAAACTAGTCTAGCAGGATCAGTACAGTATCATTAACAACATGATACCAAAATCACTAGTTGGCAGAAACCCAGTACAGAGAAAATAGAGATAGTTAAAGGAGCCTGGCAGAGCAGCTGTTACGCGCTCCACTATCTCAAAGTATTTTGTTTTCTCTTCTTTGTTATCTATATTATTATCCAATTTTGCTTATATCCATGGAGTTAACCAAGGTTGGTTTGAAAGCAACGACAGAAGCTGACCCATACGGGGTTAATCAGTCTCTGGACCTAGGGGTGTGGTCCGGGGACCAACGAGTCGATTGCAACCAATAAATCGAACAAAATTGTTTCCCGTAATGCATTTCTTTTTCATGCTCTTCTTTTTTTGTCTCCTTCCCTTACTCTTGCTTCTTCTTCATCATTTTCTTCTTATTATTCTTCAAATCCTTCTTCTTCTCCTCCTCCTTCTTCTCTATCTTCTTCTTCTTCCCCTTCTTTTTTCTTTTCTTCCTCTTCTTCTTCTATTTCTTCTTCTTATTTTTTTTCTTCTTCTTGTCTTCCTTCTTCCTCTCTTTTTTTCCGGAATCCGGAAGTAAAAAAACATAATTAAAAGAAAACTGGTATTCAAGTATAGGCCTAGATAAAAGGCCCCTCTCTCTCTCTCTCTCTTCCGCTCTCTCTTTCTGTCTGTCCCTCTCTCTCTCTTTCTCTCTCACACACACACACACACACACGTACACAATCCAACTCTCCCCTATCTTTCTCTCTTTCTCTCATCTTTCTCTCTCTCTCTCTCTCTCTCAGTCTCTCTCTCACACACACACACACACACACACACACACACACGCACGCACATGTACACCCTCTCTCTCTCTCTGTGTTCGGATCATTGACAATTGGCACTATCGGGGGGAAATTAGATACTATATCGTATAAAAGATCGAGGCCACGTTGTGACTTTGAATGAGCAATATTCAGTTACGTTGCTATAATAAGAATTTTTTTTTTTAATAAGCACTGCATTTCTATTAGAGGCGCCACATAATGGCATGGTAATAAACCATGGTTATCGTCAGTAGAGATAGAGTTGCGTACTCGACATGCGGGGGCAATATAGCAGTGCGACCTAACGAGGCATATAATCCACACTGCACGCAAAGGTTTCCTTGATCAGCTCGTGCATGGTTTCATGTTTGACTTTTACTTCAGTTCTGGCTTTATCGGGGATTGTAATCATACCGTCTAGATGTTAAACAACGATTCTATCTTCATTCGTCAAAGGATACTTTGAATGTTGATATTGATTCATTCAAGGCTGGAACAAAGTTTATTTTCCATCTGATTTCTTGAATGATTCCACCATGGATTTTGTTTTTGCTTATATTTTTTGCTTAGATACACGGCGACGCATAACGGTGCCATTTATAAATCGCTATTAGAAGACGGCAGGATTGCAGTTAAATACACAGACAACTCATCTTTCCTGAGCTGATTTTCGTCCTTACACTGAAGTGAAACATTTCTGTGCTTGACTACTGAGGATATTTCAAGTTTATACTAACGACATTTCGTAATGAGTAATTCTTTCTTATCGTAAAAATCCAAAAGGCTTTTTACGCTCGCCGCTGACTGTTTTATTAATGTAATATACTCGCTCGTAATTAAACTCGAGGCCG